CGGTGCTGGCGGCCTGTTATCTTCTATGATTTGGCTCACAGCTTGCGGTCTTGGCGCTGGCAAGGCTGGCGAATTTGATGCATGTCTCCTTGGAACTCCATGATCAAGATCTTCCGATCTCTGTGCGGGGTGAATTTGAGACGGCGGATGTTCCGATGCATGCGCCCTGCTTTTGGATGCATCAGTTGCGACAGAACGAGGCGAACTAGTACGCCCCACCGATGCAGCAGGAGTTGGCAAGCGGCTGCCCGGGTTGCTGGTTCGCATACCGCTGGCAGGTACAGGTGGCTGCGGAAAGCCGTCTGGGGGTGGAGTTGACAGCTGTGCTGGCTCAGGGACAGCTTTAAGTACTTCCTTGACCTGTGTAGCAGAAGGGGCTGGAGACTGTGTAGTAGGCTCCTCACCGACTTCTCTTGCAGCGTTCTCTGCAGATACCGAGTTGAGACTTTCTTGTTCCAGGGCTTTCTGGCTTGCTTCAGCTTGGGCTTGGAGGATCATGTTCCGGGCCTCTTCTGCCGCAGCCGCAGCAGCAGCAGCCGCCTCTTGCTCGAGCTTCTGCTTCTCGAGTTCTTGATCTTTGCGGCGTTGCTCGTCAAGTCTTTCTTGCTCCAGGCGATCTTGCTCGATTCTCTCATTCACGAGCCTCTCTTGTTCAGCCCTTATCCTCTCCAAATTTTCCGCTTCGAGTTTCTCGGATTCAATCCGTTCCTTCTCAAGTCGTTCAGCCTCAAGTCTATCCTGTTCAAGCTGTTCTGCTTCAATTCTTTCTTTTTCAAGCTTCTCTTGTTGTCGGTTCTCTTCCTCGATCCGCTCTTGCTCGATTCGCTCCTTCTCGAGTCTCTCCTGTCTCATCTTCTCTCTTTCGAGCCTCTTCTGCTCCAGCCTTGCCATCTCTAGGCGTTCTTGATCGATCCGATACTGTTCGAAACTTTCCTGGTCAAGCTTCTCCTGCTCTTCACGCTCCAGTTCCTCTTCAGCAAGGCGTCTGCGTCGCTGTTTTGCCGTTTCTTTGGCGGGAAGGGGCGATTCTGCCTCAACCAGGGCCGCGTCAGTGGCTTTGACAGACTCGACATCCCTTGAAATAAGTAGCTCAGAGTCGTGAGTAGTGTGGGTTTCGTCCTCTGTGGGTGGTGGTTCTGGAGCCTCCATGGGAGCGACTTCGTCCTGGTGGACGTCGTCCATCTCGGCCACTGGTGGTTCTTCAGCCATTGAAGAAGGCACATCAGACTGAATTGGTGCTTCGACATCGGCAAGGGCCTCGGTCGGTTGAGCTAGTCCTTCTGCAACCGGCTCTGCCTCCTCAGCATGCTCGACCTGAGGTTCAGATGACTCCGCTGCAGGTGTTTCTGGCGCTTCTGCTTGGAGTGCATCATCTTCATGGACCTCTTGGTTGATGAATTCTAGAGAAGGGTCATGTCTGATTGAGGTGAGTTAGTTAAGACGCGCCCAGTGGTGGTGAAGGAAGTACTTACTCAGATGGTTCTTCAGCCTCTACTTCAGCAGACTCCGTTGATGTGACGACACCCTCCGGTTCGGCATTATCTACCGCATTGACAATGTCTGGCGCGTCGACAGCTGTCTCATCAAGCTCAGGTGCCTGATTCTCTGTCTCTGCGTTGTCCAGCTCCGTCGAAGATGTTGGAGCTTCTTGATCCTCAGCTAGCTGCACTTGACTTTCTTCGTCTAACACAACATCCGATACGGGCTGTGGTACCTCTTCAGTAGGTTCAATCGGCGTGCAGAGAGAACCTGTTGATCATCCGAGGATTCAAGAGGAAGCTCCTCCGCATCGACTGCAGGGACTGGGTCGGCAGAGTCCACATCTGCATCTGCTGCAGGGATCGGGTCAGAAGAGTCTGCTTCAGGTTCGTTCTCCTCTGCAGGGAGCTCGGGCTGTGATTCGACAGTGCCCATTACCGTCTCCGCGTCTTGCACGGGAGTGTCGGTGTGCACGTGATCAGGTTCGGCTGACTCTATCTTCTCGCCATCAGTAGTAGCGTCAGCAAGCATCGATGACTTGTCTTCGCTAGGTGTATCCTGGGTCGATTCGAGGTTCTGGTCAGGTACAGATGTGGAGTCGACGACTGGGGTATCGTCACTGGGTGGCTCGAGTGGCGGTGCGGGCGACAGTTGTTGAGTCTCTTCGTTGGCCGGTGACTCCTCCGTCGCTGTATTGTTGACCGCTTTGAGGTTCTCGGGTGGAGCAGCAACCTCCGCCTGCTTCTGGTTGTTCTTCTTGTTCTTCTTCTTCGCCATCTTGACAACGAAGATGATTCTTGTTTATAACCTTGGAACGCGACTGAACGACCGAGCACTGTTAGCAACCACTACGTGCCATTAAAGAGAAAGTTCAATCAGTCGCGAAGACAGGGCTGTCGGCCTGCTTGCGTGGCACAATGATGGGAGAACATGTACAAGACAACAAACACGCGCATTATGCGCTATATAGAACAGAGGTTGGGGTGCTGCGCATTGTGATGGCACGGGTCAGAAACGCAGGTTGGTTCCAATGACACGCTGACAGGGAGGTGCCAGCTCATCGAGGACTGAGCGAACTAATCTACAATGCCCACCCCCCCAAGTGAGACGCCTCGGGCGTTCATCTCTAGCCTTGCAGCACGTGGAGTCTGCTCAGTCGCAGAGCTTGCTTCATTCTTCGTCAATTGAGCCACGAGGACGACTAGCACTGCAGAAGATCGTGAGCAGTGATCTGGAGAGGTGAATCGTATTATACTTGAAGATAGGGACAGCAAATATGGGCACGCGATGACTGTGGCCGTGATGAAATTTTGAGCTCCTGCATGCAAGACGTGCGTTGTCGCCTTTCGATTCGTCCACGGGTGCGACGTAGGCGTATGCACGCCTCCGGCCCGCATAAGCCTCGAAATGGGCGCCTTAGCGTCGGGAGCGGGTAGCGATGCGGGCAGCGGTGAGTGAAAGCACTTTACTGGACGCACGGCTTGGGGGCTGATCTGCGGCTAAGACATCGTAGATAGTCAGGTGACCGCGCGTGTCGTTTTGCCGGCTAAACTTACGTTCCGACGCACGACATCCGCTTGCGACCACTGCTACGGCCTCGACCACAACTGGCTGCAGAACCTGAGAATGTCAATTTGCCGACGAAAATTGCCCAGATCAATCATCTCGGGCTGCAATGGGTAAGCCGAGGGCGGCGCGGAAGCAGCCGGTCGTACTCTCGTCCGATTCTGAAGAGGATGCATCACATTCACCGCCTCTGAGGCGGCCCAAGAGGGGCACGCTACTTAGCCTCACCGACGGGGCGCGTGGAGAAGCGAACGCTCCCCGTACCAGGGCGCAACGTGCAGCTTCACCCAAAAACCCGGCACCATCTACCCAGAAATCTCCAGCTAAATCGCCTGGGAAGCCCAAGAAATCGCCCGGGAAGCCCAAGGCAATACACAAGCCCATCACATCCTTCTTCAGCAATGTGCCCCGGGCCCGGTCGCTCCAGCCCACACCAAGTCCCGAGAAGGCTGCCACACCGCTCGAAGATGTAGACGACATTTTCGACAGCTCGGGCGACGATCGCTCTGTGAAGCCGTCCACCGCGCTACCCGTCCGTAAACGTGCCAATCCCGGAGCCGCTGCAGGCAACGATACTGCTGCGAAAGGGAGACAGAAGTTCTTGCGAACAACAAGTGGTGCTCGTAGCACGCCTCACAGCACGCCTCCCTCCTCCCAATCCATCCGCGAGGATACGATAGATAGGCGTCCGTGGACTGAGAAGTACGGCCCAGCTTCCCTGGAAGAATTGGCAGTACACAAGAAGAAAGTTTCCGACGTCAGAACATGGCTCGAGGATGTCTTCAGCGGCCGAGGGCGCAAGAGATTGCTCCTCCTCAAGGGCCCCGCTGGCAGTGGAAAGACCACAACCATGTCTCTACTTGCTAAAGAGCTAGGGATCGATATGCATGAGTGGAAGAATCCTACGAGCTCAATCGCTGGCCCTGAAGGCTTCATGTCAGCCACTGCGCAATTCGATGACTTTGTTGGCAGAGCTGGCGCATTTGGCAGCCTCGTATTCGATGAGCCTTCACGGAATGTTGCGCCACCGGCAGCCAGCGGTTCTGGCAGCAGGCAAAAACAGTTGGTCCTTGTAGAGGAATTTCCGAATACATTCGCTCGTGCATCCTCAGCCGTACAGTCCTTTCGATCTTCAGTGCTCAACTATCTCGCTGCGAATACTATGTCGGCTACTGCGTTCTTCTCGGGTCAAGTTGACCCCGTGCAGTCAGTAACACCCATCGTCATGATCATCTCAGAGACCCTGCTGTCCACGAACACGGCCGCTGCCGATAGCTTTACTGCGCACAGATTGCTAGGACCCGAGATCTTGACACATCCAGGGGTGTCTGTCATCGACTTCAATCCTATCGCGGCCACTTTCATGACAAAGGCACTCGACCTCATGGTGATCAAGGAAGCACGGAAGTCAGGACGAAGGATGACTGTTGGCCCTCAAGTCATACAACAGCTCGCGGAGCTAGGTGACATCCGAAGCGCGGCATCCTCCCTAGAGTTCCTCTGTTTGCGTGGCGACGATGCTGAGGGATGGGGCGCAAAAGTCAACTTTGCAAAGAAGAAGGGGCCGAAAGACGTACCAATAACGAAGATGGAACGAGAGTCACTCGAGCTCGTAACACAGCGCGAAAGCACTCTGGGTATCTTTCATGCCGTCGGACGTGTTGTCTATAATAAGCGTCTCCCCGAAACCACAGAAGCACCCGTGCTGCAACCACCGAATTGGTTCCCTGAACGGCGAAGACCGAAAGCGTCCGAAGTCAACATGGACACGCTCATCGACGAGCTGGGTACCGATACTCAGACGTTCGTTGCAGCCTTGCATGAGAATTACGTGCTTTCTTGTGGTGGTGCGGATAACGAGGAAACCATGGAGTCGATAGAGGGATGCATAGAGTCACTGTCAGACGCTGACTTGCTCTCACCGGACCGCTTCGGTGCAGGCTCTGGTAGACGCAACATCCAAAGCACGAGTGCAGACAATCTGCGACAAGACGAAATGTGCTTTCAAACCAGTGTACGCGGTCTTCTTTTCAATCTGCCAAGTCCTGTCAAACGATTGCAGCCGCCACCCGGAATCATGGGCATGAAGGCCAAGGGGCAGGGAGCGGGAACCGGTCCGTCAAAAGGTAGCGCATTCGTCATGTATTATCCGGCCTCGCTGCGGATCTGGAAGCAGCAGGAAGAGATCAGTGACTTACTGGACATGTGGGTGTCACGTGCTCAGCGCGGCGACCTTCTGACACCCGATTCTGTGGCACCGAAGTTCTCAGTACCCCCTGGTGGTGTCGAAACATGGAGGAAGAACGCATCGTTCACGCAGCATCCAGCTAATTCAGCTTCCAGCTCTGCATCTGAAGACTCACCACCTTCAGTACTCCTTGGTAGTGGCGGTTCCGCACGATATGAGATGCTTCTCGAACGTCTGCCATACCTCATCACCATACTGCGTAAATCTCGAATGCCACCACCATCCACCGCAACTACAATTCGCGAGATAGAGAAAATCACAATGTTCACGGGAAGTGAAGTCGGAGGCAATCCAGATGAGGAGGACGACAATCTAGAGGAAGTTGGCGTAGGCGAGCAAGAGCAATGGGCCACTGACAAACCTGCTGGACCATCGGCCCAAGAAAAAGAGAGTAAGGATTGCGGCGAAGATGGAGGATGAAGAGTCAGCAATACCTGGGCTGGTCGAGAAGGGCGCGAGCCTGATGTTGAGTGATGACGACATAGAGGATTGAGGTTATAGATCATGTACAATATCACAGTATCGGTAAAAAAAAATGTCTACCAAGAGTCCAGATATTGTTCATGTCTAGGGCAACCCGCAAGTTATGGGTTGCTAATCACATGCAATGTATGGTTGTCGTTAAATTATTTTGAATGTGTTACTAAGCTTGCTACCCACGACGCACCGATCGGGGTCAGCCATCTCGTTGGCCACCTCATCTACAGTATTCACAGCCAAGTGAAATATGCAGAGAGATATCTTAGCTTAGAGAATGATCTAGCCTAGGAAACAAGGTCTCCTGGAATGAAGTGTAGACCAAGCGCCTCCACAAGTCCGACCGGCAGATATATAAGACTCCAAGTCTCCTCTACCCAACGAGAACTGTTGAAATATAGTCTGGTTGTATTCAAAAACTTTTGCAAGAGTAGGCAAAGTACATTGCAGCACTAAACATATTTAGGCTTCTCTATACGCTTTTTAGTGCGCTCTCAAAGACTGTTAGATCACTTCGCGCGTATGCGGAGCTGACACGAGTTTTGTCGCTGCCTGGTGGCCACAAAGTCTTAGCTGACCTCATAGAGTCCATCAAACTTCGAAATGAAGTTTCTCAACACCGCCATCGTTGTGACTGCCCTCGTCTTCGCCATGACCGTTCAGGCCCATTGTCCACCCGAGGTCTGCAACCACTTGAAGAAGCGCACTTTCCCTTGGCACAAAAATATCGTAGAGAGCTTCGAGGCCAATGAGACTGAAGTTGCTAAGATTAGGTGCCGAGGAGTATATGGTGAGTCACTACCTCCTGATAAATCACTTTGCCAACTGACAGAAAGTATCAGAGGAGAGCGGATTCAGATTTATGAAGCTTGTTCATAGGATCTTTGAATTGTCCTTTCAGTTTTAGGTCATCTCTTTTCAAAAACTAGGGTACGCTGTACAGGCAAGGCGGGTAGTCTGTCGACGACATGGCAGTAATATGACAGTATTTGTCACTGATATACCACTGGAAGATAACCGCGCACATACAAAGCTTCACAGATATCTAGACATCAAACAATACGATGCAGTATTATCTCCACCGTTCTTCCAACACCATAGCAGTACTGATATGCAGCGTTTACATAGTGACAACGGAATGAAACAGAGATGGCCAAACACTTCATGGGTACTAATCATTAATTATGCAGAAGCCGATATCGTCAAAGGGAACAAACGCTTGGGAGACGGCTCGTGTCACCAACAAACAGTGTCAAAGCATTAGTGCTCAGCACAGACAATAGAAACGCAACTTCACCACGGCTTTTCACCGCTCACCGCATTAGCAAGTACCCACTACTATATAAAACATCATAGCCCACCTTTGAAGCTTCGCCCACCAACTCCCTCACACAAATCTGACGAAACTGTCCCATCTACTTCAAGCACAGCACCAAGACAGTGCCCTGCAAAACATCTACTTGTGAGTCTATTATCATTGTCCGCGCACTCGCCGCACCACTAACTTGCGCAGCTACCAAAATGAAGCTCCTCCTCACCGTGATGATCATCGCCGTCGCCTTGGGCGTGATCACCGAGGCCAAATGCCCACCGCATGTGTCATGCCCTTGGCCGCTCAAGTCCTGCCAAGGTGAAGGTTGTTCCGGGTCGGCGCAAGACAAGCGCTTCCAGTTCATCTACGCCAGCGAGGCTGCCAAGGTGAAGACTGTCGAAGACACCGAAGAGTAGAACTGGGGAGATGACGTGGTCAGTAGCCTCGTTTTTGGGCGTCTATGACTTGGCTGATTTTGTTTCGGCAGGCTCTCCAGGGCTGAGGTGAAGGGAGCAGATATCGATCGCAATGGATTGAGAGACGACAAAACAATTGGAAGGACACAGGTGGGAAGTCAGGAAGTTTGATGCAGGCTCTGGGGTGCTAGGATCTGTTTGATTCTCGAATTTGAGGTTCTAGACATACACAAATGCAACCCGTTTAACAACTACTTCGTCTCCGCTTACGCTGAGATTCTTTTGAAGTGACCTATCTCATACAAACGAAACCCCACACTCGCAATCTTACCGCTCTGGCCTCTCTAATTATCGGAAGAAAGCTGCAAACGCTCATGAATCTCACCCGAGCCACGGGGCGACACGTGTTTTCTGCATAGACCTCTCCAATATCTACGTACACGAATTCTCCACACTGAACCCATCCTTAATAACAACAACGACGACTACACACCGATCACGACTGAACAGAAATATCTACCTCAAAAGTCAGTCTTTATCCCTCTTTTGCCTCTCACATACCAACCCGACCAGGTCATCCAACTCCGCCACCATGAACATCTCCACACCCACCCTCATCTGCATCATCATGCTCTTCCTCCTCGCCGCCACCATCCAGGCCAACGGTCGGGAGGGGTGCTCGCCTGGCATATTGGGCTGTAGGCACAAGGGATCGCGCGGCATCGAGAACACGCCTGGTCACGTCGTGGTTGACGAGGAGTAGAGGCTGGTAAGTGCGTGTCAGACTTCGGGATGGGCGATGGAAGTTAACATGATCTGGTAGATATAGCTGGAGTGCGATGGAGTGGGTTTTAATTTGGCGAAAGGAATGGACTGGTATTGGAATCATTGCAGTGCATGGGATGTTTTCGAATATTTGGCGGCCGTCTGGTGTCTGGTGGCGTGTCACGTCACCTTCTCGAATGCTTGCACACTGGCGGTTTGAAATCAAAAGGTCAATTTACTTTACTGGTAATGTCTTGAATTTGAATGGATTCATGTCCACAACTCTACAATGCTACCCTACGAAGCCCGCCAACGCCATATCCCATCCTATCATTATGCCGAAGCCGAAGCATGAAGCATAAAGCGCTGAACAATGGAAAGAGAAATGAACGAACGCCGATGATCCCACCTATGCTATCCCACGTGTGCTCGCTCAATACCCAATTTGAATGATTCGCTAAGCCAAAGAAGTCATACGTTACCCATTACTCATCATGATATCAAGCTCGGATGCCAGCACCGCCGGTCCATCGGAGCTTGCGCAGACCCAAGCCGGTTCCTTTCACGCCGGAAGCTGCTTCGCGTGCGCAACTACCCGCCTCGGCGCCAGCAGCACCCATTTGGTTCATGGCTTCGGCGTGGCCGGACTCTTTCCCGACGACGTAGCCAGCCGAGAAGCTCAAGGCGCTCACGAGGACCACGACACCAGCTGACACGACCCAGGTGAGCAGCGTAGGGCTGATTTCTTCGATGACGGGGCCGGTTCTTCGTGCTTTCTTCACGTTGCGACGGTCCTTGCTGCTACTTCGAATTTCCTTGCGCTTCGACTTCTCAGAGGGACTGCTGCTTGGTGAAGAAGGCGCAACAGAAGACTCCTCCAGGACGTCGCCTAATGCTACGGACTCGGGGACGAGGCGAAGTGTTGTGGGGTCGATGCGAGATGATCCGTGCTGCTGTGTACGAGGCTGGCCTGGTTTGGGGAGGCCTCGCACAGCAGCGGCTGCAGAGAGGAGTGTGGACAGACTGGCGCGCAGTGCTTCATCGTGATCTGGTGCCGCACCGATGGGGGTATGTTGGGGGTACGACTGTTGTCGCACAGATGCCGATGGCCGTGTCGGGCCTCGGCGAGGTGGGTAGACAGTGGCGGACTGTGAGCGTATCGGCTGCTGATTGCTTGGGTGCGAGAAGGCGTTTGGCCGTGGCTCAAATTGCCGGCGTGATCTTGGGTAGTTCACTGCCGTTGCGTTCTCGTCTTCGTCGTCATCATCCTCTTCCCTTTCTGACATGGTCTCAGACGAAGTAACTGACAATGGGCTTCGAGATGCGCGGTTGACCTCATGCCTGAGGGGAGACGGACCGAGACCCTCGTTCGAGGACGTCATGACCCTGTCCGATTCACTCTCGCTCTCTTCGTATTCCTCTTGACTACTGTTGCCTCCTGCGTTGGATACCCTATGTCCAGTGCCTATCGAAAACTGACCACCGCCTCTCGCGCGCCTCGGCCGCCGATGTAGGTTCGAGTCGTGCTGGACTGTGAGGCCAGTGGTGATGATCTCGTCAGTGGCGGAGGACAGTGAGGCTGACGAAGGGCCTGATCCGATCTCTACCCATGATTCTGTGAAGATTACATGTAAGCATGCATTCGATGGAGCTGATTTTGAAGGAATCGGCTGCCTCTACGAGGAAGCAGGAAGAACAACTGAGCAAAACCTACCTTCCGAGTGTTGCTGTCTGCTAGGCGAAGCGATGGAATCCATGGGCTGGTTGTACGATGAAGACCGTCCCGTCTGTCTAGGACCCCTTGGTGGACGGTTGTCATGCATGATGCGGCTGTACTAGACTTTTTCAAATTCGATCACAGCTCTTGCGATGTTGTTCTCTGGAGGCCTTCTCTTCCGCCCCAAATCACTGATCAGACTCGTGGTGGAGGAATTGCGCGCAGGTGGAAACCGACAGGGCGCGTCCCAATCTCAGTTCTCTGTTCTTTGTTCACGTTGCGCGTCCAGGCGTGACAAGTCCAAACAAGGAGGTAGTGTCTCGAAGTAGTGGGAAGACGGAGACCTAATAAAGGACCGCTTCAGATGGGATACGTTGGCCCTTCACTCGACCGCGGCCGCAAAGAGGGCTGCAAGTTGGAGATAAGATGGGGATGGCGTGGCGCGACTCGCTGACGCTATACAAGTCGCTGGGGCTCGACGATCCGGCGCACGGGGTAATGACGTGTGGGGGCTCCGTCTCGATTGGTGGGGTTGGCAAGACACGTCAACGTCGACGTCCTGCACTGGCACCCAAGGAACAACGGTGCAGCGAGATATGGAGACTTCGAGAGTGGGAAACGGAGTTGTATTGGGGTCGAGGCAAGGGATCATGTATCTCTGTCCTTAGACTGCTGGACCCCGTGTGATGGCGCATGCAGAGCCCGATCTGGGTCACGCGGATTTAAGGCGGTGGATGTATGCTCATGGGCGAATCATAGCGCGCACGCGTGCCTTCACACGAGGCTTGCGTCTTCATGGTGTGCTCACCTGCTTGTGCGTGAGACATGTATATCGCTACCCTTTGGTCGCCTGCTCCTGATTTGGTGCCTCCCATACAAAGGATGCAGCCTATTCGTCGTGCTGCGTGCTCGAGCAGTACCCGTACCCTACGCCTTCTGATGTGCTTAGGCAGATCTTAGTCCTCACTCACGTCAGCTGCATTTCATCAAGCGTAGGTTATTACATGTTTCTGTATTGAACATAATTCAAACAAACGAGTCCTTCCCATATCAAATCCCGACGTAGCGCCATAATCTTCTGATGTGCCTAGTCGTTGCCAAAGTGTGAACGCCGCCAACATGCAGAACAAATGCCAATCACAGCTACTGCCAGATGCTTTCAGATATAATACAAAGCGTTGCTGGACTGCACTCTCGAGCGAAAAAGCCCTCGGAGGTCTACGCTGATGGGTATTGCCGAAATCATGAGCATGAGAAATAGCTCAAAGGAGATTCAAAACTTGCAGGAAATCGTGTCGCAATGTTCGTGCGCTTCGTTCATATTGTGCCGCCGTTTTTCAGTTCTTCTTCTGCTCCTCCTCCTTCTTCTTCTTTTTCTTCTCGAAAAATTCGCTGATCCCGTCTTTGAACTTCTCCCAAGGGTTGCGGTTCAGTCTGTTGCTGAGTTGGCGGTAGTTGTACATCTCGGCCCAACAGTCGCGACCCCACTCGCAACCTGCCATGTTGACTAAAAAGTCTCTCTCCTTTTCTGAGTAGTGGATGTTCGGGTTGTCACCTTGCTCGCCACATGCTCCTGGCGGGAAGCTCATAATTTGTCGCTGTTGGATAAAGGCGACATGCGGGCGAATCCAGGGCTGATTCTGATACATGTACTCGAAGGCGTCCTGTTCCTTGTGCTCCCACTCCATATGCTTCTGCTCGTAGCCAACGGGGTCCCACCAGATATCTAGCAATCGATCAGTCCACACGCTCCTCCGCAGCATGAATGAGCCCAGATTGAAGCCGCCGCAGTCTTGAGGAACGAGCATGTTTATTGAGTCGACTTTGCCGTCTCCAACTGGCGAGCGTGTTTCGGGGTCGAGATAATCGTCTGTAAGAGGGTGGGTGATGTTCAGCGGGTTGTATGTGTTGATGTCGCGGTAGGTGATCTTGTCAAGACGCTTGAAGATATGGCTCTGCAGAGACTTGGATGGCTCCATGATGAAGGTGTTGGTGTCCAGCCACCAGAACCTGTCGTGTGTCAGCAAGGGTAGTCAAGCAATATTCGAAAACGTACCATTCCGCGTGTGGGTACTTCCGCATGGCATTGCGGATGGTGTCGACCTTCTCCCAGCTTTCTCTCCACTCGTGGGCATAGCGCTTCTTGGTGCTCATGTCGACGCTCTCCAGCTCGTAGCCCCACTTCTTCACGTACTTCTTCTTGTTCTTGACACTGTCTCTCTCAATGGCCCATTCGCGAGGACCCTTCCACTCCATAACACCTCCTCCTTGGTTCACGGCGAGTATGACGACGTACTTGCTGCCGCCGCCACCAATGGCGGATCGTCTGTAGATTCGATGCAGGGCTGGAGCTGTTAGTAGCTGGGGACCGCGGAGTCCTCGATTGACTTACGTGTCACGTAGAACATGATGATGCTGAAGACGATGAACAGCACCACGCCCAGCGAGCGTCTCAGCCGCCATATGTTCCAAGCAATGCGATTGAGGAATTGCATGAATTTGTTATTCTGGTATCGCCCGCGCCCAACCTTCTCTTTGTCGCCATAGCTCATGGGCAGGCTCGTCGAAATCCGCCGGAAGTGCTTGGTGAAGAAGCCCTGGCCTCTGGGGTTGAAGCCGCTGTTGCTCTTAACTTCTGCGCTCCGCGCCTGCGCTGATGCCCATGTGACATTGTGCGAAGACGAGCCATTCGCGAACGGGCTGGTGCGGCCGCTGCCATCATAGGGTGTGCTCAAGCCGGGACTCGACCATCCCCCAGGGCGGGGCGACGGCGACCTCGACATTTCGACGCCAGGTGTGCCAGGAATTGTAGGTAGGGCTTCGCCCAGGGGACGGCCCGTGGAGCCGCTGGTAGTCCCGAGTCGACTGCGTGCGTCTGCACCCTCGGGCAGATTGAGATTGAGGTTGGGCGGCTGTTTGGCGGCAGAGGATCGCCGGCGACGTTGCCCACTCGAAGCCTGGAAAGATGATTGGGAAGCCAGCGTGACTTATCGTGGCCGGGAAGGCTGCGCGGAATGCAGGTGCAGGAAAACGCCGCTACGCGTGGGTTTGCGACGTCAAGGCCGCAGGACGGGGGTTTGGCAGCCGAGATGGGGTCGGCAGCGTCTTGCAATATCGAAAGCGTGGCACTGCAGCAGTAATGTGCCCGGCGAGCAGCGCAAAAAGGACAGCTGGCCGAAGATTTGTTTCTCGGTCGGCAATGCGCGAGCGTCGCACCGAAGCGGAAGGGAGAAGGTATATCCTGCGGTGCAACGTTGATGGCTGCTGTCCTCACTGGCACCTGTCAGGATGGTCGACGTAGGGGATCTTGCAGGCTTTCTCTCAGCGATATGCAAGGCCGGTGGAGATGCCGATTGAAAAGGAGTCTCTCGATAAGTCGTTTCCTTTTCGAGCGTGTCTTGGCGCCTGCTTGGGAAGAATGCGAGCATTTGACTTTGACCCTGACTAAGACTATAGGGCAACGCTACCCGGGGACTGGCCTCCTGTATCCAGCTTTGCAAATGCCCCTTGCTACATACTGATCCAGGCCTCGTGATGATTCTGCCTTTTGCATGGTTCCAAGCGTCGATCGTGTTCGACAGCTTTCTGAAAGCTCGTGTAGCTTTGTCTGGCGGAAGATTTCCTGTAAGCAGGGCATCATCTACTACTCCGTCCTGTGCGCGTCGGACGCATGACACACGAAGTACTTAGGTACGACCCAGTACATTCGAAAGCGTAATCTTTGCCTTTACGTTTCACAGCTCCCAGACACGAACAATCATATTTGATTTGCAAGTGCTCCGCGCCTACGGAGCAATTCTGGAGAATCTAATGTCCAGATCACATGTTTGTATTTGCACGTGTCGACCACCTGTCTGCGGGCCCGGGCACGTGGTGAATATCACGTGATATATCCAACCCTCCATCAGAACGACAGGCACGCATCGAAAACTGTTCCCATCTCACGAAGAACCAAGCGAAACTATATGCTCCACTTCATTACACACGGCCGCCAGAGTCCGGCCACTGAAGTCGTCGCATTGCGACCCATCCGCAGAGCCGCCATCGATTGGGCACGAGGCAGCGCCAAGACAGACCTCAGCGCGTGGCTCGTCCACCTCATTGGTACACGCAGACATTTGCGCTGCCACCACGTCCAGCTCCATCTCTGAGCGTCTCAGATCTCTCATCGCGTTGTACAATTCCGCTCCAACCTATCCCGGGCGGTTATTGAGCCTCAACCCAGGGAAGATGGCGCCGACTAACCAGCAGATCTGCCGCGTGCGTCCAATCACCTTCACTCCCCGTCCAGCGTCAACACTTGCTGGGACCACCAGGCCATCACTTCAGGCAACGTGAAGGCGCTTATGACCAATGAAATGATGCGGTAGCACCTTGTATGATGAAGCTATACAGTATGCGGTATGGTACTTTGGCGGCAGGGCCACAGGAGAGGTTGTCCAAATACCTGGGGTCGCGTGTCTGCGAGCAAAGCCTCACATGCTTCTTGCGTTGTTCTCTCCTTATTTGCTCCTATACCATTCGACGATTTTCCGTGTTTCCATTCGTTCACGTGTGCTTTTCACCCGCATAATACCTTTCGAGCCCCTACAATAGAACAAAGCACAATCACATACGAATCTTGTTTCAGTCTCAAGTACAGTGTCAAACACAAAGCATTGTTCATCAAATGCTTCCCTGATTAGCATCGTCCTATACACAGTCTTTTCCGCCACTGCCACCCTACCAGATCAGCAACTTGAAAGAAAACGATTATGAATACTACACGAAGCGGTCGTGCTCAGCCACCCGCAGCACAGAACGGCTACGAGCATCATGGCACCCACGACGAGGACATCTTGGTACACCTCAACACACAGTTCGACGACGAACATGGCGGTCAAGAAAGCAGACAGTGGGACAGCGGCACCCAGCAAGCCGTGCGACGAGCAATCACGAAGCGGAGCTCGAAGTCTTACTCTGCACGCATGTCCCGGCAAAAGAGCCGGAAGCGGGACATGTTTGGAAGGCAGGGCAAGCCCGGCATTACAGTCGACACCAGTTTCGCTCGGCACCGGGGTACTCAACCACACCAAGTGTTTCCTCAGGAGGAGATGAGGAGTGGCGGATCCATCAGGAAGCAAAGCTGGTTCAGCGCTGGACGAGCATCCACCAGGAATAAGGGTCTCGGAATAACGAAGGGCACCCCGCAACCAGGACGAACGCACCGAGCTAAGCCAAGTGTGGACGGCAGCGACATGTTGACAGCGATTTCTATGACACCAGGCAGCAACACGTGGAATGAAATTTCACCCTGGGATCGCCGCATCCCAATAGGCATCTCTGTCCCTACAGACAGCGTCTCCGATTTCAGCTCATTCAACGGGGCCCGTATGCGATCGGGGAGCGACGCCACTTTAGTCACTCCCAGCATTATCATTACTCCAGCAGAAGCTATGAAGTCGGTATGGTCCCCTGACACGCCCTTTACTGAGTCCGACTATACTCCGAGTACATACTCCCGCTACACGTTTAACGGGCATTCTGCCGACCCCTCTGCTCCACCTGTCCCGGCCTTGCCCGCTGGAATGACCAGCGCATCGGGTATACAGGTCATGCCGAGGCCGAAAGACGACGCGGCGAGCACACCGAACCACAACAGGAACGATACACTCGACTCCAACGGGACCGCCTTCGAAGAGGATGACGATGTGAAGCGAAACCAACGGATAATGTCTACGGGCACCGTTTTCGAAGAGGATGAAACACCATTGCGGGAGAGGGCGTTGGACACACCGATAGCCGTTGACACATCCTTAGTTCCAACTCCACGTCGGTCACAAGGATGGTGGAACTTCATCACAACGCCGTTTGTGACAACACCTAATACCGCGGTTTTCCCACCTACCGGACGGGGCGAGGAGACCACGCCAACCGTCCCGAGTGTACCTGCAGGTTACGGTATAAGGCGAGAGGTGTCACCCGCGAACAGTCATGCAGCTATTTTCGACTCGACGCCCAGGTTACCGAACACCACTTCAAACGACGCGTCGGCGACGTTGATGCCACAAAACACTACTGTGAACAACTCCGTCGTGGTAGAACAAAACCAGACATCTAAATCCACGTCCGATCGAGGTGTTCCTTCACCTGCCAAAGTTCTCATGCCGCTACAAATAGAAGAGCAGCCTCGCACTATCAATATCAACATCGAACTTCAAGACCGCCGCGCGAACGCAGGTGCTCAAACGGCTTATGGCAATGCGAACAGCCTACCTGTGGGACACTACAGTCACACGTCTTCGCCAGCAACGCAAGCGAACAACACAACAGCGCCGATTTCGAGACCCAATGGTTCTCCACAGAATTTGCCAGTCTTTGCACCTCCTCCATCTCACGCAATCAAGAGCTCCCATTTCAGCTACGATAATATCAGCCGAGCTAGCTCACCTGCGTCGACACATGAGCTCAAGGGAAAGAAGCAGAAGAAGCACAGGAAAGTCTGCGACATGATGAGTTTCCTGCCATTCGGCAAGCGTAAACAGCAAAAGAAGGACGAAGAGAAAAAGAAGAAGAAGAAGGGTTGGTGCTTCTGGGGCTGCTGTTGCTGTCTCACGTTTCTCGTTCTTATTGCGATACTCATTCCATTGACCGTTGTTCTGACTAGGAGACGTGATGACGCGCCCACTGTAACACCTGGATCATCAGGCGCCCAGCCAGATCAGCCTGGGAACTCAGGATGGCTGAACTTGCCAAACTACCCTCCCATCCCTACCGGCATATCAACTATCGCGCAACCCGAAGCGGTGAAGGAGGAAAGCGGATGTGTTGCACCAACTACTCTGTGGAGCTGCGCACTGCCAAAAGAGCTACAGGAGTCCATCAAGCCAAACAAGCCAGATCAACCAAACTTTAGGATTCAGATCACATACGACAATGGTACCAAGGCATCTCCAACCAAGAGAGCTGCCAATCCAGTGTCCGCAGGTGCCTTCATTCGATCACTGCTCAAGATACGTGCGTTACCGTCTCCGTCTCCAGCTCCTCCGAGCGATGCGGACATGAGCTTCCTGGGACAGACCACTGATGGGAACATGGCGCCGTTTGATGGCGAAGACACTCCACTCTTCATCAGCTTTCAGGACTCGAAGAGGAGCGCGGCTAAGCTCAAGCGTGCTAACGCAAATGATCCGACGAACATCACAGCAGTGATACCACCTCCTATGCTTGACTCTGACGGGACTGCTGCTCCAGCGAACCTCATTCCACTACCTTCAGCGCAGCCTCTCCGACTGTATAACCGTGGGGCTGACAACGAGCATTACGGCTTCTACACGTACTTTGATCGGTCCATCTTCCTAAAGCAAATCAACGGCACCAACCGCGGAGGTAACCCTGCAGATGTCGACGGAGGCAGCGCAAAGTCTGCGGCCAGCCTTCGATGTACCTTTTCCGAGACCCGCTTCCTAGTACAGATCTGGACACGCAGCAAGACTAGCAAACCCCTACTACAGGGCTCGGCCCAGAGTGGACCAGATTCCACCAAACGACCAGGCACATTTCCGTACCCAGTGACGGTCACGCTCGACCGACATGGAGGAAATCCCGCAAAGAAGAACCTGTATTGCTATCAGATGGAGAGCGACGGCACGATTCAGAACAAGGACTCAAAGAAGTCATTTCAGTTCGAAGATCGGGCATTTGGTGGCAACCTGGTCAACGGTACGCAGGGCAAGACTAGCGTAACGGGGCCGATTGACGGAGGTACGGGAGGCTGCCGCTGTCAGTGGCAGAATTGGCTGAGCTAAATGGTCCAATTGGACGGCTTTCTCCACGGGTTTCCTATGTTTTCATTGCATTGGACGGCGTTTTGCATAGCGGTGCGAAGACGTTCAGATGGCTCCACCAGCACCATACCTATCATGTTTTCTTCCCGCCAGCATACGATTTCTAGACGTCTCTAATAAGCACGACCCACTGGATGGCTTCATGTACAAAACACTCATCAGATAGAGCTATATACCTAATAATCGTCAGCACGCACGCGTCCTCTCACTCTCCCCACACCAGTCCGTAATCATGTGTCGTAAGTAAAGCCGTGGATGTGAATAGATTCGGACCTTATGGGAGTTAAATGGAGATGTCAAGTCTTAGCATGATGAGCTCAAAGTGTAGGGACCCAATGTAATCCTGCAAAGCATAGGAGACAAGGAGCCGAGCACGTCCTCTGGCAGGATGACCGTGGTAAAAGTCGGAAAGTCGCCTTCTGCCATACCCTTATCGAGTTGTTGAACAGCAGCCTGCGCCGGAGATAAAAACGCGCGATGTCACTTCACGCATATCAGCAATTCGACGATGCCAGGATGCCGTGGTGGATCTCCGCAAAAGATGGCCGCGCTAATGCCACATCCCGGCCCGCGCAGTCGTGCTCGGCCAGAACGGAGTCGGCTTCTGGCCACTCGCTCCAGCACGTTGTTGTCTAGTCGAAGTTAATTGGCTGCGTGAAACTTCATCCTCTCGACGAGCTTTTGATGCTCCCCACGCCGGTGTGCGCGAAGGAACACAGGCGAAACGGCACGGACGGTGAGTTATGACGCCGTGCGCGGCAGTGGGTGCTTGGTTTTGCTTGTCCGCGGCTTGTTCGCACTTGGCCGGCGCCCAGGAGTTGGCAGTCTTCACGACGTGTAAAGTTGAAGATGTGCGAAATCTGGGGGATTGCCAGATCCAAGACGGCTCAAACGAAGCGCGTTGCCGCTTGTGGAGTAATAAGAATGTCTCTGCATGCATATCCGCCTGCATTTGTGCTAGCCCAGCGGCTTAGACAGGGCGAGCATGGCAAGATGGTCAGTGTCGCGTGAGTAGTTGCCGAATTGGGTGGGGACGTGCAAAAACTTTACAACCTGAGCTCGCAAATGGCGTGGGAAGCGAGTCTGTACGCTAGAAGATCTTGCGAACCCTAGATTTTCGCTATATAAACCCGTGAACCAAGGTTTCCTGACATGTGCAGCTTCGTTCCGTCTTGCTTGTGCTCCATCCCCCAACGCCAGCTCCTTCCTGACCACGAGCTCAGCCTCTACGTCGAGATCTCGTTTCGCACGTTACGAGCTCGATCTGCACAGTACCCACGCATAACGCCTCATTCCGAGACATTTCACGCTGTCATCGGAAGGTTCGGCAGTATTCCCACGCTATCACTATCGCCGCCCATCTTGAATTTTCTGGCCACTCAGGAGCATTTCCAGCAAACGTGCTCCGGCTCCGCATTACTTTTGGGACTCTGCGTGCAGACCACAACACCGTTTCTCCAAGGGTGCACCCATTACCAACGTCATCAAGCCCGAAGCCACGGACTCGATCTACCACGGTAGGAAATTAGCGCAAAAATCGACATCTTCTCCCACTAAGCTTGGCCCTCGCACAAGCATTTATAAACTGCATCTACGGCCCTTGGTATTTTGCTGCAGCATCAAACTCCGATCCACTCGGAATCTCACAGTGCGGCTTCAGTCTGCAAGTCGCCAAATATGGCTGCACAAAATAGCGGCGCTGATTCCCTTCGGGATTATGGCATCGCTGCTCCCCATGGACCCAATATGACTGGCGAACATGTTGCTACCCAGGACCTGGATATCCGACAAGACATGAGCGAGAACGAGCAGAGCATTTTCCACGCCCTGCTCCACCCTGACGACATGTACGACGCGACCGGAACGTACTGGGCCGACATGCCTCTTGGAAAGCGCTTGAAGTTCGTCACCGCCGTCGACAAGAAGGAGGCACACGAGGAGGCCAGCTACTTCTGGGCCATGTTCAAGAAAGATCCCCTCGAGCCTATGAGGCATTACTTGCAGGACCTGCGTCATCCCCGGTGCGGGTCTTGGCCTCGAGGGTTATGTTCTGTTCTCGATTGGAAACGTCAGGCCTCTGCTTCAAGCTGCGTTTCCCAGGTGCTGGAAAACAAGCCAGATTTGCAATAAGACTTGGACGCAGGCTATTGACTACCTGGAAATTTGCGGTATCATTGTCGGTATGTATTTCTCTGTGCTTACTCAAGTTGCATCATGCTAACTGAGGCAGGTCAAATTCTCGTTGGTATCCTCGGTGACTGGCTGGGCCGTCGCCACGGTCTCATCCAAAGATGCTGTCATCATGTTCGTCGGTCTGCTCATGCTGACTGCCGCCTGGGGTGTCACTCAGAACGGCTGGGTCATCTGCTACGTCTGGGCGCTCTTCTTCTACGGCATCGGTGTCGGCGGTGAATACCCCATGACTGCGACAGCCGGTATGGAGAATGCCGTTGGATCTGGGAAGGTTTCGACCAAGGAACGACCGTCTGCACCGTGGCCGAAAGGTCACGAGCGCTTTCTTGATGCAAGGATGGGGTCAGCTGGCCAACCAGGTAATCCCTCATCGTCTTGCTTTTGATCTTCCACTCTGGCGCAAACCCACCATACTCGAAGACTGTGGCACAGTGGACCTACCGCGTTTCCTTTGCTATCCCCGCTGTTGGTACGCTATGGCTCGTCTACTTCCGTTACTACAAGATGAAGTCTGCTTCCAAGCAGCTCATGCTGTCAAAGAAGAAGTCCAAGGTCACTGGCTACGACGTTCAGTCTTTGAAGCTCACCTTTACCTACTTCGGACCCCGTCTCATTGCCACCGCTGGCGCATGGTTTGCCAACGATGTCTTCTTCTACGGCAACAAGCTCTTCCAGAACGAGTTCATCAAGGTCATCACCCCCAACAACAACTCTGTCATGACCGGATGGCTGTACAACTTGATCAACGTCGGCGTCTCGCTCTGCGGATACTACCTTGCATCTCTGCTCATCGACAACAAGCTCTACGGCCGCAAGTGGATGATGATTGTCGGGTTTTTCGCTGATTTCATCCTCTTCGTCATCCCGGCCCTTTCAACTTCGAGTACTACAAGGAGCCCGCGCACGTCCACGCTTTCCAGGCCATGTACTTCCTATCCTCCTTCTTCACCAGTTCGGACCCAACAGCGTCACTTTCTTCGGTCGCTGCCGAGGTCATTCCCCACGTCTGGTCCGCGCAACTGGCCCACGGGCTTCT